CTCAGATGACACTGATATACCTCGGTGAGAAACCCACGAAAAGACGATGATGGAAGGCGCGGAGCGCGAAGGAAAGGAAAAGGACAAGGATGAGCGTATGCCAGATGCAGATGAATGAGTCACGTCCACCGCCAAGATATGTCCCACATCCGAGAACATGCTGGCAAAGAAGACACACAGGGCCCTGCTGTCCTCGCATATGCTCGTGAGCAAGCCTCCCAACGCCTCAACGCAGTTCCTTTCAACCAATGGCACTGCGCCATCGTAGTCAAGAGCTGCTTCGCCAACGCCAACTCATCACCGAGGAGCATCTTATGTCCCAGAGCACGAGTGAGCACGAGCAACAGGTGACAGCCACATGAGTACTCGGGCGGAATCTCAAAGTTCCGGTCTGCCAAACAGCACTGAAGATCGTCAGCCTCAAAGCGCAGGCTGGCTCCGTCAGGGAGAGTGCGTGGGCAGCCGTCCTGACGCGAGTGAGCTGGGGGAAACCGCGCAAGTGGTTTCGCAGCCCTGTCCTCTGACGGGCAAAATTCTGCATTTAGTGCTGTAAGTCCTCTGCAGCTTTGGCCCTAGGTTGAGAGAGTGACCCGAATGTTAGCACAAGCACTTCGCCACAGACAAATAAGTTCGACGCGGATGCTGCAAGCGATGGATCATGCGAGCTCTACGAACTCCTCATTTCCAGCCAGCAGGGTGAGACTTGAGCTACCAAAATTGCTACAGTACTACGATGCCCAGAAGGACAATGCTCACGCCAGATGGAAGTCTCAGTGATTTGCTTGAATGGACACCATATATCAACAACCATCACTTCGACTCATCCATAAGACAATCTGCGAGGAGTGGCAAGACTGGACGGGCAACAAGTAAGAAGATGGTATTCCGACAAAATTCAGCCTCCCTGGAAAAACGAACAACCACTACATCACGCACCATCCAAGCCATTCTCAGCACAGCCTTTATTTCCTTCATGGCCTTTGCAACTTGACAAAAGGAGCTGATCAAGATCTGACTACATTATTCAGCAGTTTCCTTCTGCATTTGCGTCAATCCCAGAAGGAAAACAAGCGATCATCATCATAATATCTTCGGAAAATGAGGAGTACATCTCGAAAGGATTTCTTCTCAGGCAACGCGCCGACCAGAACCAGAAGCAGGCAGACAGAGGAAACTTCACAGCAGTCTAATTACAACGGCCGCGGCACAGTCTTAAAAGAACTAAGACACTCCACAGCGAAGCTTCAGCAGTCTCCTCCATCAGGCCAGAATCTCATCAGAAGGCTTTCGAGACAGGCTGCTACCTGCAATCTGAAGGCGGCATTGCCAAGATCATGGATTGATATGGCAACGGCCCGTTCTGTTTGAAACGCAAGGAAGACTTTGATGCCGAGTACGACAGTGTTGAGATGTGCGCCCACGACGAAGATCGCAATTCACTTCGGGACACGCTGACACCGGCTGAGATCGATTTTTTGGAGACTTGGATTTCAAGAGCGAATACCCTCCTGAAGATCTCTATTTTGGAGATGAACCTAAGGAGCCACAAATTAAAACGTCAGAGGACATCGACACAATCGTGTCCTACATCCAGATCTGCAACGCACTCCAAGCACCCGGTCAGCCAGTCAAGGACAAGCACAAAGTGAAGAAATTGTGTCATTCAGATTCACTGAATGTGCTGTCAGTGAACTGGGAGATATCTCAAGTTATAAGCTGGCTCCATAACGTAGGGCCCCCGCCGCTCTTTGCTCCTTGGCGCAGCCGTCTCACCAGCCATGCTCAAGGAGGCATGCCCGTGGTGCCCCGCGTTGGGCACATGGCATCACACTGTGTGGGCCTGCGCTTACTCACCCTTTCCCCTTGACTTGGCTCCGCCTCAAGACCCCTTGCTTGCCAGGCGGTTATGGCCTTTAGGACAATCCGCGACCGATACGGCCTAGAACCACGCCGCACAGGTGTTGAAACACCTGTGGGATCTCCGGCATAGGCCGCGCCAGCGGCCTGCTGGAGCGTGACCTACTCGCGCTGCTGCGGCGGCGCGCGGATGCTGCAACTGGCTTCACCGCGGTGGCAGCGGCAACCGAAAACATCCATAACGTCGTGACAGGCAAGACGTTGGCGCAGGTTTTTGGCATCCCCAGCATCACAAGCCTCACTCTGTTTGTTCGGGGCTGGTTGAACTGCGGCTGGCTTAGATCTTGCTAAGGGTGGGTCTTGGGTTGGTTTGGGGTTCACTGAGTCTCAGCAAAGGGCTGACATCCAGGCTGCTGCGGGTGGGGTAAAGGCTGACTTCGGGTGGGTTTGGCGTTTGCTCGGAGCTGATTTGTGCTGGGTGTGCTGCTGGTTGAGCGTTGCCCCAAACCACCAAGACTAGCCAAAAACTCACATAACTACACCAGCAGCACACCGAACACAATTCAGCTCCAAGCGAACCCCAACCCACCCAACAGAAGAAGTACCAGTCAGGTTGTGCAATGCTGCGCCAGATGTCAAGGCATAGGCAACGAGGTGGGCGAGCCCTCTGATGCTTTGTAAAAGGGGATGCGACAAGCAGAGTCCAACTTCTATCCAGACACAGCGCTGACTGGAACTCTCACCATGGGCACCTGCAGGTGTTCTTTTTCGTAAGGGCAACCGATGGACGATTACGATGCGAAACTTAGATATGAATGCCTTGCATCTACTGGAAACTTCATGGGCACAAGGGAGTGCAGAAAGGACCAAGCACTTCCGACGTCAAAAATGAGATCGTCGCCATTAAAGTAGACATCCATGAAGCTCAGGTTCAACGGTCACATCGCCGGTCAAGGCCACCACGCGGAAAGGGTATTCCACTGGATCAAGACCGGGGCACAGAGATTGGAATGACATCGACCCTTTGAAGACATGTCCCGGGACAAGCGTGAACAACGAGATGCTGATGAGCGGACAATGCGGTTTCGGACTGGCACCTTCCACTTATCGTCCTTTTAAGGATGTCTCTTCATGGACTTCGTCAACTCAGTATTCAGATGAGGTGAGCACGTCTGTTTCACACCTTCAACTTTAGACAGAACTAGCTGTCTTCAAATGACTAATTACGGTAGAATATGCACAAAAGGAACTAGATGCTGAAGGTCACAAGACATTTCTGTCTGTCTGACAAGCAGTTGACTGTCATTCAATCACATCATACATGGCTGACGCCACTTTTTGGCTCACTACATTGTTGAGATAGGATCTCCAGGGACATGTCCAAGGTTCCTCAACCTCCATTGAAAATTCCTTATACTTCAGAAGCAGATCCAAGGGAAACAAATGTATCGTGTGTTGGTTAGGGGCCCTTGCCCTTGGCATCGGTCCACGGCAAAGAGGGGGTATCTGTATGTGTGTGTCTGTGGGTGTGGATCTGTGTGTGGATGTGTGCGCTTGTGGCAAATGTGTTGAGTGGTGTGTGACACGTCGTTGGTGGGGTGTGTGCGCGCGTGTGCGTTTGTGCGTTTGTGCGTTTGTGCGTGGGTGGGTGGGTGGGTGGGTGGGTGGGTGTGACAGTGTTCGTGTGCCTGAATCTGTGTGTGTGTGTGCGCGTGCATGTGTGTGTGTGTGTATGCGCTTGCGCGCGTGCGTATGCAAATGCATGAATGTACATATGCATATGTGCGTGTGTTGTGCGTGGTTGTGAAGGCGTGTGAGTGTGCATGCATTTCTGTGTGTGGTGGGCAACACCAAAGGGCAACTTTCTGTGTCGATCTTTAAGCCTCACCCCGAAAAACCGGACGGACCTCTGTGTTGAGTGCGCTTCCGAGATGCTTCTGGCTTCGCAGGCTCCAGCTCTCAAAGAAGACCTGGGACTGGCTTGGATCTTGAACCTTTTGGAGCCAAAGGTGGGTTAATGGACCAGACACCGGGGCCATTGACCACGGGTAATTTCCCCTTCCATCTTGCTTGGAATCAGCGATCTGGGCGCAAAGCCCAAGGTCTCTGGTCTACGGGAGCCTCATACCTGGTACATGTGGATCCATGATATTCGCTTTGATGAGTAGACGTTCACTCACGCCGGAAGCAAAAGCCCTGACCCAACTTCCTCTGACTGGGGAACACATGCAAATTGCAAAGAGCGAATGGGTGTCTTTTGATTGACGGGTTTCAAAGAGAAACCAAAACAAAACCAAACACATGGAGGGGTCCTGTAAAAAAGGCACACACCCAAATCAAGTGAAAGATCGAATCAAAACGATTAACGCGTGAAGGCTCCAATGTGGCTCTTCACCCACTCGGCTAGCACGGCAACACACATGCAGCAACAACCAAAGCGGTTTGAAAGCAAGTCGCAGGCTCGTTCCCGTCAGACCCCTTGAATTCGCCGGCAGCCGGTGCCGGGAACAATTGGGGGTTGATGTCCACACGCGGTGGGTTACCCTTTGGGCAAACTATGGGAGGAAGCAAAGCTGAGCCGGCCTGCCCCCAAGAATTTCAGGAAACCCCAATTTGGCGGCTTGAGGGTTTCGAACCCCTGCTTCTTTTTGACGGCAAATGGGAAGCTACTCCCAAGCCTCCACCAATTCGCAGGAAGCTGATGGACTGTGCCAAAGAACCCCCCCCCCCCAATCCAGGCCCCAGGTGCCGCGATGGGGTAGACGATGATAGGCACCCCCAGCAGCACCACCCACAGAGCCAAGCGCGTGGCCAGCCAGGCGTTGCTGAAGTAGCGCCGCCGCGCCCGCAGCGCCGTCCGCTTGAACTTCGAGTGCCTCATCGCGGTCACTTCCGAGAAAACCAGTGGCTTGGGCAAACGGCGGCCCCGGGGTTCTGCAGAAATGGGGGGAAAAGTGCAACCTTCCCATTTGCAGGTTTCCTTTCAAGCACCCTTTGGTTTGGATCTTTTGCATGGGTGGAAGCAATCTCAGCCTCAAAAAAGGACTTGGTTTGTTCGAACTGAACTTTGTTGGAACCAAACAAAACAAACATATATCACAAATGGCAGTGAAACCGGTGGGTTGGGAAAACAGTGTCACACCCGCCCCATATAGAAAAATATAATTGTATGGCAACTTATTTTGACGTGCACCTAGGGATTTCTATGCAAAGAACTCTCAGCATGGGTGAGGTACATGGCCTGCCGACCTTAAATCTTACCAAAAAAGCTGCCCGCAAAAAAACCCAAAACTCAAACTGCCGTCGCCCCCAAACGTCCAAGCCAGGGCGCTTGTCCAAGAGGTCCAGGATCCGTCCAGTGGACCGAGACCAGCTGTCCGCCGTGCTGGGCCGCTCCGAGAACTTTGGAGTCCTCAGCTTTGGGCCACTCAAACCCTAGCGCAGAATGGACAGTTCAAAATGGAGAGGGGTCTCTGGGCTTTGCCTCCTTTTCGCTTCCCGTTAAAGGGCACCGTGGCTGTTTACAGCAATTTTGGATTTTCCAGGGGCATTAGGGTTTGGAGACGCGGAAAAGCAGCAGTGCTCTGGTTGAAGCTTCGCGTCTTCTCAATTTGGGCGATTGCAACTCTTCGGCCTTCACATGCCCTCCAAAAAAAACAAGTGGCCACGTGCCAAAAAAATACGTGCAGAACCAAACGGGGCCAAAGAGGCAAATGGATCGGCTCCTGTGTCTCCAATGCATCTAATCAAAGTAAATGGAGACTTGCAAACCAGCGTGTGTGAGCAAAGAAGGTGATCAAGGGATCAAGGTCAGGTGTGTCTGACCTGCGACGGATCAGAGTCACCAACGCCCCCAAACTCGGACGGGAAAACTGATAAAGCCAGCCAGGCATGAGCGACGTGCCAGCCCTGAACAAAATGCTGTGTCGACGTGTCTATTGCCATCAGTATCTCCCGTTTGTGGCTTTACATGTCTTACTCGACCCGAGGATGCACTTACCCACGCCCTTCAGAAGATTGCAAAAACGTCAACTAAAATGCAAGCGTTTGTTCTTCGAGCCCCAACTTGTTTTCGTCCCCAGGCCGGAGGCGGCCGGAGCGGGGTCGGCAGCATGTCCGCTTCAGCCGAAGGATCGTGCGCGGCATGTCCTCCACGTCGTCCGCTTCGATCGAGGCCTGCGGTTCCACCGTCAGAGTCCCCGGCAGGTGCGTCTCCGGGGCCGTGCTGTCCCTCAGCTCGCTCGCGCCGCGCGAGAAGAGGAGCTCACAGGCAACCGCTCGAGTCAGAGATCTTCGATTTCCGTCGGGAATGGGACTAGGATCCAAACACGTGAGAGCAACCAACCAACCAGTAACCAACCTGGTTGAAAATTCCAAACCTCAGGAGAACTCTGGCGAGTCTGCTGTAACCTGGCCCCAAAAGAGAGGTCCATGTTGCAAGCAAGACTTTCGACTTAGCCAAAGTGCCGTGTTCAATGTTGCTGGGCCACGTTCTGGCTGCAGCTGCTGTTTCCATGGTTTGGTGTTGCTCTCCTTCAACCCAACTTCAGTTTCACATGCACGCGTTGCGCGGATGCAGGCCAGGCAAGCTGGGCCGTGCCTGGCTGCCCAACAGGCAAGAAAAACAAACACAAAAGCACGCAGGTAGGCGGGATCAATTGGCATGGTCCCCCAAACTCATATTAAAAAGAGCAGCATCAGGGAGCACGCCTGGGAAGGTGGCCTGGGAGTCCCTGCAAAGATGGGATGGGTCTCAAAGCAACCAAACATCGGCAGTTCCCGTTATTATGAATCCAGCAGGTCAACTGCAAATTGTCTCCACCACTGGGGATGCTTTGCATGGGCAAGAAGGGTTCAGGGGGGAGAAGAACAAGCAATTCACCATGCTCAGCACGGCACTCTGAATCCGTGGAACGACGTCCTGGATCATCTCTCTCATCTCCGGTTGGTTCTGCTGAGCTTTCGCGCTCCGTTGAGGCTGTGCGGTCTGGTGAGGCCGCGTGGTCCGGTGAGGACGGCCGCTCTGGGGCTGCGTGCTCCGGTGAGGCCTGCCTCGGTGAGGCCTGCCTCGGTGAGGCCTGCCTCGGTGAGGCCTGCCTTGGTGAGGCCTGCCTTGGTGAGGCCTGCTTCGGGGTTACCTGCCTCGCTGGGGCAGCCTGTGGTAAGGCTGCACGCTCTGCGGAGCCAGCCCGACCCGTTGAAGCGACATTGTGTCGCCCAGCGTCCAATACCCACTCCGAGGAACCCTCGTGGGAAGCTATTCCTCAGCTCACCACAGAGGCTCGACCCCCAGCCTTTGATGAGAGCCAAGGGATCAGAAACAACTATTACACAGCATAACCTGCACATGTTCCGACGCGTGTCGGGTTCCGTACTTTAGCTCCTGCTGAATCAGTCCTCTTTTCTAATTGCTTGCCTGTCTACCTGCCTGCATCCTTGTCTCCTCGCCCGCCTGGCTGATTTGTGAACAGCGCGCCCAAGCGCAAAGGAGAAACACATGAGGGATGAATAGAAGTCCAAGAGTCGAAATCCTGCTCCCTCGAATTCCATGTGCATGGGCCCGGCCAAAAACCACACACACATGACATTCCAGGAGCCTGAGTATGTCACACAACAGGGACCTAGGGACCTCAGAACTGTGGC